AAAATTATGAATTATTGAAAATAAATACTGTATATACTTGTTTGAAATTATTGCCAAGTGGGTGAAAAATTTATTTTTGTTTATCATGATGAGATATTATTGTTCGGATATATTTCTGTTTGGATATTTGAATGATGCATGACTTGTCAGGATATTTTAATGTATGGTGTTAATGGAAATTTCTGTTCGGTTAATTATTACCACGTGGTAAGCCCTCATTGGACCCAATGAGTGGCGTGTCGCTTGGTCCAACTCACCTTTGGCTGGGTGATTTGGCGTCCGAGCATGGCGAAAGGAGGATATAAGGTGCAGTCATGCAAATTAAATACTTGTTCGGTTTATTTGGAAATATTGTTCGGTTAAATGTTTTTGTGTGCCCACTTAGCAATCGCATGATTAGTTACATCCGCATGCATTATTACATATTAATTTTTGGTTACTGGGACTTTTAAGTCTCATTTCCCGTGGTTAATATTTTTACAGGAACTATGGTGTAACTATGGTGTATGAGACACCATCTTTTACATTGTCTCTTATTTTGGATTATACAATGTATCTTGTGCCAACTTAGGACATATCTTCTTTGAGAAGCATGTAAACTCTAATCCTTTTTATTAAAAGTATTTATATGATCAAGAGGATTATGTCTGTCCCTCTTGATTTATGGTCTGATTTGAATATCATGCCATGAGGATCATGTCTGTCTCTCATGGTTCTAATTGCTTTTTGGGATATTTTAAGACCTGTGGTATGTCTTGGATGTATTATGGTAAAAACAAAAAAATTTTCTACCATGATAATGGTTTTAATAATTTACAAAAAATTGGTTTGTAAATTTGAGAGTGTTACAGAACTTGTGTGTAATCCTCTCTTAAAAATTCAAGATATTACAGTCTTATCATGTATTGTGATTGCAAATATCCAATTGAAAATTGCTAGTTGAAAATTTTCAAGAGGTTTCTATAGGATTGGATGTAGGTTAAATGATTAGATTGAATCAAGATAAATATCTCGTGTCATATTCTCCATCTTTGCTTGTTTTATATTACTTGTCCCTTGTATGTTTTATATACTACAACATCTTTTTTGGAAACTTTTCCCTCGCAACAATTATGAAAATGTTGCCTGATGTATTGAATAAACAATAATTTTTCATGTCTTAATATTATTCCTATTATAACCGATAAATATTTAGCAATACTGTTAGATTAAAATTTTTAAATAGAAAACATAAAAATGGTTGCCTATAAAAATAATTTTATTGCAATATTATAAAATTGTTCCATGTTCTAATAGTCAAAAAATAAATAAATATTTCCTTTAATTTTTTCTTTTTGCAACATTTATATATATATATATATATATCAATTCATTCATTTTTTATATTTTTTCTATACTTAATTGCTAATTAATTTATTAATATACTAATTAGATAACTTCAAAATTATACATGAAAAATTGATTATAGAAACATTAAAAATCACTTTAATTAAAAGAGTCAAATCACAAAATAATAATTATAAATAAATTATTCGTGATTGTGAATTTTTTCTGCCAAATTGTTTGGTCAAACAAGCAGGGGTCATTTTCACTCGAGGGTAACGGATATGTTCTCCACTTTGGATGGTTAAAATTATTTTAGCATTTCAAGTATAAGATTGTAAGGTTGGCACTCAATTAATGACAATTAAAAATTTTAGACTCACACCATACAAATCTTTATCATATGTCTTGTCTTCATGGTTTTCATGCACATTGGACACTTGTTGTACGTCGGTTGAAAGAGTAGGCAAAAAGGTGGCAAATTTTTCAAAGTCTTTAGTGGATTAGTTTTAAGCTTACTTCTACCAAAATATGTCCTCATTTTTTCTATTGTCTTGAAATTGATAGAAACTATATGAATTAAATTGCATAAATTTTATAATAATTTTTGAATTATATATTTCATTTTTTTCTTATTTTTAAATTACTTAAGATATTTTAATTTTCAAGTTTTAAAATAAATATACCTTTAATTATCTCTGGTGTATAAATATTTATATATACAAAATAAAAATATAAAATATGCCAATAATAATAAAGTTATGTAGAATGAACTAGATGTAACTTAAGTATCGAAATAATTATGATTTTTATGTTGGGAGAGCTTCACTTGTACATGATACTAGATGATTTATTAAAAAAAAATGATATATAAATAATATGTAGGAATCTTTATAATAAACTCTATATGCGCTGTAAAACCTGTCTTGACTCTAGCTCTAATTCATCTAAATTTTTTCTAATAAAACATGATAACAAGAGATCACCTGGAGGCAGAGATTTCTTTTCTTTTTTCTTTTTTGTTTTCTTTTACGAGATATATGATATTTAAAAGAGAATAAAAAGAGAAATAGGGTGACTTGAGACGTCATTGATGGTATCGCTTTTTACAATTGAAGAAAGCAAAGAATAATTGGCCAAAAAAATAGAGAAGATAGCAAAGAATATATGGATAAACTTTAAATTTTAAATTTTAAAATTGTCCAAATTTGACAATGAGTCCGCTAAGCTTTCAAATATGTGTAAATGGCTTCAATGGCATTAATTAATTTATTATTTTATTAGCAAGTGTAGCTTGTTAGGTTGCTTTTCCGTTCGTAACAAGGACAGATCCAGAGTGATGAACAGGGGAAAATTTTTAAATAAGGTGAAATAAGAGATGTCAAATCAATTTTAGCAATTTTTATAAAGAAAAATTAAATAATTTTCAGGGGATGAAAAACAATTTTTTGGGGGGGGGGGGAGCACCCTTGCTTCCCCATGGATCGTTCCTTTTTCGGGATATAAAAAACTTTAACCTTTTAAATTCATTACTCATTATATAAATAATTCCTAGTAATCCCAATTTAAAAGGTCTGCTTTTATTCATAAGAAAATAAAAAATAAAGGCATTCATGTTATCACATAACTAATTAACAATATTTGGATCTTGGATTAGCTTTCATCATTGAGGAGCAATTTTATTACCAATTTTTCAGGTACAATCTTTATTACCAATTTAGGAACATATTAATCCTAAATATGAGATATTTTGTGATGGAATATTATGACTTAAGAATGACCTTATGGTAAATGTTGGCATCCCTAAACAGTGACATTTTTTGGGTTTGAACTTTTGGCTTGCAAGTGGTCAAATTGAATGGAGAAAGAGAAAGCAATTACATGCAAACAAATTGGACGGAAAGATATCTTCCTTCATTATTATTAATTTTCATCGCAATAATGATTTTTTTTTTGGCAAAATCGTCGCGATATAATATAATAATTGTCCACTTCCAAGGTACTATTTAAAAACCATACTGGTCAATATGTTAGTTCAAAAGCTAATAAATAAAACATTTTATTAAATCGAGTCAAGACAATGGTATGGTTTAATCATGGTTTGGAAACCCGGACCGAACCGGCCGGGTCAACTCAGAAACCGGCGACCTGGTCCCTTGTCCGGTCTAGGTTTATGGCTAAACCAGTGTGAGGTTGACTCGGATTAACTCGGTCACCCGGGTTCAACCCAGTATGAACCGGACAACCCGATGGGTTGACTGGGTTAATCAAGTTGATTTTTTTTAAGTTGAACCCCCAAAACAACGTCGTTTTGGGGGAATTTTTTTTTCAAAGCCTGCCGGCCTGCCCTGACGAAATGAAAGAAAAATAGAGACTCAAGAAATGAGGAACAGGTAACAACCGAACAGGGTTCACCTTCGCCAGTCACCACTTCACTGAGGCTTCCAAAAAAAAAAGGGCACGGCACGAGCATCAGATTCAAATCAGCATCAGCATCACTCAGTCGCCCACTCGCCTTCACCACTTCACTGACTCAGAATCAGAATATCAAATCTAAGATCACTGATCACTCAGTCATCTGCATCGTCTCTTCATCTCTCGTCCACTCACTCAATCGCCCTTATGCTCTGTCTCTGACCTTTGTCTCTTCTCCAATTCTCCTCTTCTCTTCTCTAATCGATCTAAAATCAGAGGCAGAGCACGCACAGGAGACACATTTCATTGTCCCAATCCGTAGTTCTTCACTTCTTCTCAACAGCGTTGAGCGTTCAGCTTTAGCCCATTGCAGTGGTTCAGCAGCTCGTGCTCGACTTTCAGCATCAGGTCAGTGTCAGTTTCACTGTATCTCGTGCTGGACTCTATTTTTATTTCTTGGTTTAGCTCCTGATTATTGTTTCTTTGCCTGATTGTTGTTTCTTGAACTATATTGCTTTTGCCACTAAGTAAGCTAATTGCTTTCTTGAACTATATTTGCTGGAAGTTTTTGTAGTTTGGTCAGGCTTCACTGTAGGATCTGTTTCATAACAGATCACTAGGAGATATCAGATGTGCTTGTCTTATGTAAAAATAATGTATGATTGAGAACAGATTTAAAGATATTCTAAATTTGAGTTCTGAATTTTGAATGTAAAGTATCAAATTATGTCGCCCTTGCATCCCATCATTTCACCTTTATCTTTGTTTTCCTATGGTGTTGTGATTGGTTTCTCACTGCCTCCATGACACACACTACAGATGATTGTATGATTGAGAACAAATTTAAAGATTTTGCTCGTGATTGTTGTCTCTTTTTGTTATTGTTGTTTTTAAATATGATTCAGCTTACCTCTTCTTATGCCTAGTTGTTTCTCGATTCACCTTTATTGCTAATTTATTATTTGAATTTTGCATTTGTGTTAAAAAATAAAATTGAAGCTTTGTCTTTAGCTTGTAGAATAAAATATAATCATAGTATTAATTATGGATATTGGAAGTAGTCCTAGTGATAAAATGAGAATCTTACCTCTAATTCCAATGATCCCCATCCTAGTGGTAATGACTCAACGTGTGAGGCCCTATCTGTGCGTGGAAAAACTGATCCTGCTTAGGCACATGTTTCCTTAAGAAAAGAGGGCAAGAAAAATATATATACTTGCCTTTATTGTGCATCAAGTTATGGAGGAGGTGGGATTAACATAATGAAGCAACATCTTGCTGGTGTGAGTGGTCAAGTAGCTTCTTGTAAGAAAGTTCCTCATGATGTACATCACAGGATGGTTGAGTCTTTGAAAGGTGGGAGAAAAAGGAAGGTTGATGATAGAAAAGAATAAGAACATGAACAAGAACAAGTAGACATTGGGGACCTCGAAACTAATGATCTAATTGCTCCTACTCCAATTAAGACAGTCCCTGAGAGAAGTGCCAATAAGAGGCAAGCTTCTACTGCTTTAGTTGAAAATTATTTTGCCCTTAGGACAACTCCTGGTTCCCAACCTAGCATCATGAGTGTGCTTGCAACAAAAGAAGCACAATACAATGCAAAAATGACTATTGCTGAATGGGCTATCGTCAATTGTATTCCATTTAATGCATTAGATTGCCCTTTATTTCAAAAAGCTATAAATGCTATTGCTTCAATTGGGCCGAGATTCAAGGCCCCTAATACTTATGAATTTAGAATCAATTTGTTGACAGATTGGAAAAAAGGAATGTCAATTACTTATTGAGAGTCATCGAGCTAAATGGAAAAACACTGGATGTACACTCATGGCTGATGGTTGGACAGATGTGAGGCAGCGAACTTTAATTAATTTCTTAGTCTATTCTACATATGGAATGGTTTTTGTGAAATCTGTTGATGCTTCAAATTTGGTAAAAGATGCTAGGACTTTGTTCTCGTTGTTCTGTGAAGTGATTGAGTGGGTTGGTCCCAAGAACATTATTCACATGGTGACTAATAATGCTGCAAATTATGTAGCATGTGGCAAGTTGATTAAGGAAAAATATAAAAACATTTATTGGTCACCTTGTGCTGCACATTGTTTGAACCTTACTTTAAAAGATATAGCAAGCTTAGACAATGTGTCAGCACTTGCCAATAAGGCATCAAAGATAACTATTTTTATTTATAATCATATGATCTTCTTGTCATGGCTTAGGAAAAGACTAGGTTGGAAAGAAATTGTGTGTCCTGGTGCAACAAGATTTGCTACTACATTTATCACGTTGCATAGCATATATATGCATAAGCATGACTTGCAAGCTTTGGTGACTGATAAGCACTTTGTAGATCACAAATTGTCAAAGACTCAAGCTAGAATAATTGTTACTACCATCATATTAGATAATGGCTTTTGGGGTGATTGCTTAGAAATTGTGAAGGTTGTGTCTCCTCTTATAAAGTTGTTGAGAATTGTGAATTTAGATGAGAAGCCTTCTTTGCCTTCTGTTTATGAAGGCATGCAAAGGGCAAAAAAGGCAATCAAGGCAACATTCAATAATAAGAAAGATTATTACAAGCCTTACAAAAACATTATTCAAGCTCGATGGGATAAGCACTTTAAGACAAATCTTCATGCAGCGGCGTATTTGTTGAATCCTGCATTCTTGTATGATGAGAACTTTATTCACAAGAGAAGGTTAATGGATGCAATGCTTGACGTGTTTGAGTCTAATGAAAGTGAAGAAATTGATTATATTGTGATGATGAAGCAGTTGAGTTTGTATCGTGATCATAAAAGTCTTTTAACAAAACTTCATGTCAGAGAGCAGCCCAAAAATTAAATCCTTGTGAGTATTCATATTTATTATTTAACATGTCTATGGTAATTTTAGTTATTATATAATTAACACCTAACTAAATGTTTTTTATTTACAGATGAATGGTGGTCATTTTATGGAGGTTCTGTTCCAGAATTGCAAACTCTTGCAATACGCATTCTTAGCCAAACTTCTTCTTCTTCTGGCTGTGAAAGAAATTGGAGTTTGTTTGAACGCATCCATACCAAAAGACGAAATAGATTACAACATTAAAGATTGAATGATTTGGTTTTTACAAATTATAATTTGCGATTAAAGCATAGGTAAAAATTAGAGTTTTGAATGGCAATGCTTTTATATGCGATGTTTCTTTTCTTTTCTTCTTATTAGTTTATTTTTAATGGCATGGATAGATTATTGTTATCTTAACATTTAATATGTAGTTTTATGTGCTATTATGGGAAGATGGGTAGCATAACAAATTCAAAATGCATGATGCACGGGGAAGGGATTACATGTGCATGTACATATTCATATGTTTTGCGTGCGTCTCAGTTTCATGATGCTGTATTTTTTTATTGTTTATCATATTTAATTGCTTTATTTTTTTTTCAAGGAGTCAATTGAGAAAAAATAAAAGTTATGATCCCATTGATTATGAATCAATTGATAAAGTTGACTTTTGGGTGACTGAAGAAGAGGAAGAGCCAGCTCCTGAGTTTAATTCTCAAGATGTTGCAAATCTTGAAAGTATCATTCACAATGAAACCATAGTTGCTCCATCAACCCTAGAGAGGGATCATGAAGGTTTATTAAATCTACTATCATGTCCAATACAAATATATGAATTTCTTTCTTAAAATGCCATTCATTAGTATTAATTTTTGTTTATTGTAGGTGATGAATATATGAATGTTCTAGAGTCTCCACCTTTGCCTAATGTTGCTAGTGGTTCTGGTTTTTCTCATTCAACTCCTAATGTCTCAATGCCCGGAGATTTGAATGAAGTTAATGATGATTTTAGTGTTGGTGAATATTAGTTTTAGACTTTTTAATGATTGAAGGGTTGTAATTGTAAGGAATTAAGGATTGATATTTGAAGTGTTGTATTTTATTATTGTTGGACTTTTGAGTAGTTGGATTTGGTTGACTTTTTTATAATTAATATCTTTTTATTTAAATTGTATTATTTTAATTATGACCGGTTTGTCACTAATTCAACCCCGGTTGAACCACTAACCCGTGACCTAATGTCGTGACCGGTTCAATGACTGATCCGGTTTCACGTACCTTGGGTTTAATAGTTTATCAATTTAACTAAACAAATTGATTTAGATTTTCATACTATGCGGGCTTCAATTTAAAACATGGCCTCGTGCATAATTTTTTTCCCCTTTTTTGGAGGGGCCCTTAGACTTTAGTCACCTCATTCCTTGTTGAAAAAGCAGATGCTGATAAAAAAGAGAGGAAGAAATAACCCTGAAAAATTTTCATCAAAGTATCCTGGTCATAAAAATATAGATTAAAATATTGAAACAATTATGTTTTCTTTTAAATAATTATACGGGATAGGCAAAAATTTCTCTAAGAATTTAAAAAAATTACAAAATTGTTTAAAATTGTATCTTTTAAAATTTAATAATGTTTTCTAAAATTTAGCAGTAAGTACTATAAATTTAATAAAGATTTTAAAAAATCATCTTAATATTTAAATATATTTTAATAATTTAAAAAATTATTTGTTTTAAATATAGCTTCTTCTTTTCTTTTCGTATTCAAGGCATCTTATGCATATGGAAGCCCATGAAAAGTGGAATTATTTTATACAAGTATTGTTTTTAACGTGTTCGCTAAAAAAATTGCCCTTGCTTGGAAAGTATAATGATAAACACCTTTAAAATAATAAGGATCGCACTTTTGTCTGCAAGAAGGCTCCTCCTAGGAGTGTGGGATTCAGACTCCGTTATATTAATAACAACAAAAATATGCTATAAAGACCCCAAGACATTTTACAGCTTTTTCTTCCCCTCTCTAAAGTTGTAGCTTTTTGTCCACCAAAAAATAATTTCAATAGATAATCAATCAAATAAATAAAACAAATAAAATTTAATGGCTTTTGGGAAAATAAAAAGAATTTTTTTTAGAATATACAAATGATAATAAAATCTCACGAAATGTAATAATTTTTTTAAGTCCTTTGAAATCTTTCTGACATTAATATCATTTGTAAGATGATTATAATACCTGTAATTTAAAATAAAAAAAAATTGTTCAGTGGCTAATTTGATTTAAAAAATGATTACTTTTTTTATTATTTTTTTTTTGCAATGACTAAAATAGGATAGCAAAAGATAAGTTCTACTCTACAGATTTTTTAATTGTTGAAATCCAAATGCTGTAAATATTAATGATTATTTTGATTTAAGTAATTACTATTTTTCTTTTGACAATGATTAAAATATGACAAATAATTAGAACTTCTCTTTTGGAAAAATTTTACTCATTAAAGTCCAAACATTGGAAATATTGGTGACTATTAGTTTAAGTAATAACCACTTTTCTTCTAGCAATGACTAAATGACTAAAACAATATGGCAAATAACAAGTCCTTCTTTGCTCATGTTTCTTTTCATTTTAAATTAGGGTGTTATAGGAATTTCATAAAAGACATACTGTCATAAAAGTTCCAAGAGACTTAAGAGTAATTATCACATTTTTGAGTGTTTATCATCATTTCCTAAGATTTTCCTATATGTTTTTAATATTATACAAATACCAAATTATCTAGCCAAAGGCATTGGAGGCTAAGTTACTTCATACACAAGAGCTATAATTTAAATCTCCGATCACTTGTTTGAGTGAGAAAGCTTTTACCAATTACATTAACTTTAGTTGATATACAACATCTCTTTTACTTTTAAAAAACCAATATAAACTTTTCTTTAATTTTCTTAAATTATGCAGAGTTTCATTCTTTCTATTTTCAACGTAACACATACACACACAAATCTCTCCTTTTGAATGGAAGATTAAATTACTCCAATTTTTCTTTATTTTATAAACATTCACAAGCATGTCCTAAAAATGAATTAATGAGATGGATATGTAATTCTAAAAATTTTTAGTGAAAATTGATATGTTTGTAAAAAAGGTAAGAGAGGTATATGTATTTATTGTTTCTAATAGAGTGTTTTTTTTTTTGGCCGAGGATTTTAGAGTTCAAAACTTAAAAAAAAAAAAACTGAGAGAGAATGTTAAAATAATCTATCTATATATAATATAAAAATGCCGAAAAGTTGCATGCTGTGCATAAATCATGAGCATTTGATTTTTTTTTCTTTATATATGACAATATTTAAATCTAAATTAAGAATTAATACCAATTATTATATAGTTGGAGTTTAAAACAATTTAAATATACTTATGGATGAAAGACGCTTCCAGTCCAAAAAAGCCACGACAACACACAGCAACGTACCTTCATTCATACTTACACACATACATTCTAGAGATGTGACAAAAAACACTAGAGATGTGACAAAAAACACAATAAATTATCACACCCTTAAACTTGAGTACAGGAAGTTAAAATATAATATGAGATGAGACCTTTAAATTTGTCATATTATATAGCAGTGTTATATTGATAAAAATGATAAAAAATTATTTAAAATGAGTTGAATATATATAAAGAAAGTTGTAAGAGTTGTCAATGAGAAAAAGTTGAATAGATAGTTTTGAGTTATATGAAGAAGGGTAAAAAAATGGCAAAAAGAACACACATGAAAAGATGTTAAACTTGTACAATTTATATAACCGGCCCCACCATCTAGTGAAACAAGGCTTGTTGTTATTGTGTTATATAATAATAATAAAAATTAATTATCAAAATTCATCCATCAATCCCTCTCTTTACAATTTACTTATTACCTTGTACATAGTTACATACTAAGTTAATGACCTAGTAATTTAGTGGCACACAAGCTTTTTCTGCAAATGGGAGGTCGCATGTTCAATCCTATTTATAACATCAAATCGTTAGTACCTGCCTCTTTAATTCAAAAACAAAAAAGAAAGAAGAAGACGAAGAAGTCACATATCACTTCCTTAATTATTTTGCTATATATATATGGGAAAATGATAATTAAGGACTCTATAAGATCATTAATTATAATTAAAGATTTTAAATTATTGAAATCTCAATAATAAACCATAGTCCTTACTTAAAATTAAAAATATATATAAATTTATAAAATTGCCCTTAAATAAACGTAGAAATAGTTGATCGAGTCTCACTTGAGAAATTAAAAAAAAATACACTATTAAAATTACTATCATAGATTAGGATTATGATTAATCTAAATTAGAAAAACTACGATTCACACTTGAGAATGAGATTAATGATAGTCACAATCTATATAATTTAATAGTCTGAACCCATAACACTTGAGATCCTAGTTTTCTCAACTAAGACTAACAATAATCCCAATCTATGATGGAAATTTTAGCAATATCTTTCCTTTTTTTTTTTTAGTAGTTTACCTATATCACAAGCATAAAAATTCACAAGCTATTGGCTTCATATTCAAAAGTAACTTTGGTAAATCCCCAAGTAAATATTATATTTACAAGTCTTTTTGAAAGCTTCACAAGTGAATTTTAATTTCATAATGAATTTATAAATGTGGATATTGATTTTTTTCAACTAAGATTAATAATAGTCCCAATTAAGAATAGTAATTTTAAAAATATATTTGCTTAATTTTTTAAGTGCAACTCGATTAGCTATTTCCTACATTTACTTAAAGGCAATTTTGTAAACTTGTATATTTTTATTTCAAGTAAGGATCGAAGTCCATTATTAAGATTTCAATGATATAAGGTCCTTAATTATAATTAATAACTTTATAGGGTTCTTAATTTTTATTTTTCCAATGTAGTAAGTGCGTGTTGTCATTTATTTTCCGATAAAAGTAACTCATTCAACTACCCAGAAGCACTACATTTAAGTGAATCCCTTGAGTATGACTCGTCAATATCCCAAGAGAAGAAGAGAACTCCAGAGATGTCCAAACTATTACTATAAAAGAGGGAATATAATATATTTGGTTTGTTCATTAGAATATGTTGCTGCGTTGAAAGAGCTCCTCTAATTAATTAATAAATTAATAAAAATATGCTTAATGTTATTCGGGACAAAGTTGACATCGATTGTGTACCCAAAAAAATTGATATCGATTGTGCACCCTAAAAAATTTATATCGATTGAGGGTTGCGTGT